GCCTGAAACGATGTTTAGAAAAAGGCTCCTGTGCTGTGTGACTTAAAGATATTTTTACACAAAATAATTAAAAATATATACTTTTTTTCAGCAAACATGTTCAGTCTTGCAACAATACATTTTTATACCAGAATCTTCATGTGAAGCATTTAAAGACAGCACCACCAGTAGAAGTTGTATAACACAGACGCCAAACAATGATTAATTTTTATGTCCTGGCTGTGTTTTTGTACCTGCATGTGAGTCAAAGCCAACAAGCTAGTGCGCAGCGAGAGGTGGAGGCGATGCGTTTACCCGATCACTCATCCTACCCTAATGTAACTGAAACCRTCTGGGCTTGCTGCAAGAACCTGAGCGGAGAGCGAAAGAGACCAATAGAAACACAGGAGGGTTAAAACAAAAGAAGTGGAGACTGAGAGGGTTTCAGGAAGCTCGCAGAGAGAAAAAGGCCTAAAAGAGCAGACGTGTAGAGGGAGGCGGTGATGGCAACACGGGAGCTTTTTGGACACTAAATGAATAAAGAAGTGTGAAATGTTACACTCTCCTTTGAGTTAGTTTGTAGCACAAGACAACTCGTTTGACCTCTAGCACTTTCATGGAAAAACGCCCTTCTATGCTCACAAACTCCTCAACGTTCCACCTTAATGTTTATATTGTTGCCACATGCTTCGCAGGTTGTAAGTTGCAGGTTGCAGGTTGCAAACTAAAACCTAAACAAAAAGTGCCCCGTTGTCTATCTTCGAATATACATTATTGATCCTGCAGAAGTTTTAATGGTGACTCTGTTGAACTTTTACAGGCAGATGTTTGGCCTTGTTACCAGCCTGTAGCTGCAGGCAAGAATTCTTGAGGGAAAAGGGAGTGGCGAGAGAACAAAAGCCCTGCGAGAGGTTCAGTGGGAAAAAAAAAAAAAACTGCAGAGTACAGAAAAGGGACGAGCTGAGGTTATTTGCTGGCAAAACTCCTATCAAAGTGAAGAGCTGCGAACAAGGAGGGCATAGTTGGAATAGTTTCCTGCTTAGGACTAGTCTAATGATTATCTGCTGACACCTACAGGGCAAAATAAAGAAAAGACAGTTAGAGGCAGAAACTCATTAAAGGAAATATCCTGCAATTATCCACATTTGCATAGCCTGATAAAAAGCTTAACAAATCCTGTGAACACAGCAAAACAATTACTTTATTACAGTCATTATTATTGTTTTTGTTCTAAAATCACTACCCATCTAATTCCTTTTGATTTATGCATGCTGCAAAATAATGGTTCTCACTAGAAAAGAATGATTTTACATTGGAGCAAAGCAGCACAAGTCAGAGTCTGGAGTTTTAGAAAACGCTTCAGATGTGGTCACGTTGAGCAATTTGTTGTCCAAAAAATAAAAAGAAAAAAGAAAAAGAGAAATCACAACAAAAACACTGAGCTGTTGTTTTGCATCTTTTAGCGTATCATTGAGACAGCTCCATGGGGAGAAGACTCCAGCACCATAGACAACCAGATTACAGCCCACAACAAATTTCACAGCTCCATGCAAAGAAGCCCAGAAGTAGAACGAGCCAAAAGTGAACTGGTAAGAATCTTGTCTCTACTTTGTTTTCCTTCAAAATTCATTTTCTTTATTCTGGTTTTGCAATAATGTTTATGATCGTCTAAACAACGTGAATTAACGTCTTCTATGTTACTTTCTAGACATCAGTGGGTGATAAGTACCACCTCTCCCTCTTGGAACAAGAATGGGACAACCTGCAGGTAGAGCAATGTTTTCTTGAATTTACTTAGAGCAACGTTATTTTTGTTGCCTTTTTATTATATTATTATTATTATTTTATTTTGTGGCAGAAAATGTCCCACAGTCGCACGAGTCAGCTACGGGAGCTTCAGAACATCATAGATGAGATCTTTCAAGCCATCATGTGGGTGAATGACAGAGAGGAAGAGGAGCTGGTGTTTGACTGGGGAGACAAGAACATCGACCAGTACATCCCCAAGAAGCAGGAGAGCTACTCTGTGAGGATTYCTAAYTGGGACCTTTTTTATTACTTGCATCTATTACCAGTGGTGGGCACCAGTCCACTAAAGYGCAAATCCACTAATTGTGGACCTAAATATTTCGTTTGCGCCTTAGTGGTCTTACTAATTTTTATAATTCATAAGCGGATTTGCACTTTCTAAAATTAAAATGCAGTACCGCTAATAAATAATTCAGTGGAAGGTATGGCTGTCAATGAGTCACAACAGATGACATGTGTCCAACAGCACCCCTTCCATATAAACTCACTTATTGAGAAGGTATACATCCTTGCTGACTGTTGCTTTTGGCCACGGTTCTGATTTCCCACAATGCTTTGTGTCTGCTTACGTANATTCTTTTAAACCTCCACATTTACCATAAAACATTAGTTCATCCAGTGTTGTTTCTCTTGCTTAACAAACAAATTTATTTAATTTTACCTATAGAATACTCACATTAAGTGTTTTCCTATGTAGGCAAAAATCAGTTTAACAACCTGGTAAAATACACCAGAATGCAAGAAATAACATTTACTTCTTTAAAAACTTTCTGGGGGAGGACCCCCAGACCCCCCCTGCCAGTGGGTCCCCCCAATGTTACAAATACTTACTCTTGGTTTTTGTGTCTGAATGTCATAAAATCAATGGTGTTATCTGTGAAAATACAAATTGAACATCTGTTGGCAAATCCATAGCTTTACATTGCCATAATTTTCAATTTGGCATTTGTACAAACACATCATAAATTTTATGTTATAGATATTAATTTTGGTGTACCACCACTGGTTTTTCAGTGCCCCCCCCCCCAAGGCCCCCCCTGAAAAAAATTTCTTCAGGCGCCACTGCACATAGGCAACAGAAAAGTTATCTGATGATTAGGAGAACAGCTTCCTTGATCTGAATCTAAGAAGCAATATGTTATTGGACTTWTTTTCAAAGCATGGGTGTCTAAAAAGAACGTTGTTTGAGCAAGTTGGTCCATAAGTGCATTTGGTATYAATCAAAGTCAGTCATGGATTTTGTAACTGTATGATCAGACCTGAATGCTTGAATGAAAAGGTAAAACTTGTCAAACAAAAGACTGGCTATGTTTACACTGCAGGCATATGCGAAAAAAAAAATCCCAATTTTTTTGGGGCCCTGTCGGATTTTTTCATGAAAGTCTGAACGTGACAAATCCGACTTTTTCAAATCAGACCCAGACCTTTTCATTATGTCATACTGAATCGGATACAAATCTGATGTTCAAAGCGACTGCAGTCTGACTGCTCACGACACATTTCATCTGACTTTTACGTCAGTGAGGTGGGGGTAAGCTGATCTGTTCAATAATAATGATATTAACCTTGAGTCATGCTGTTTAATTCTTATGACTACCCAAGTTGTCATCTACAGAAGTCCAGTTGCTTCATCTTTTCTCTTTTAATCTTCCCTGTCCTGGATGMCTGAGGATCCACAGAAAGACAGTAACATCGGTCATGATTTATTGATACTACAATTACTTGATCAATGCTTCACTTTTAGCATGTCTCTTTGTTCCAAAAACAAAATGGTGTACCGTAGCAGCCGCCAGAGGCAGAGTCAAACATAAAGACTAAACTATTCAATCAGGTTTGATAATTATTTAATCTGCTTCGATTGCACAACAACTTCAGAATCTAACTTGTGTAAATAAGTTAAATTTGACATCATGTCTTCTTCTGCACATGTGGGTTGAATCAGTGCTGTGGAGAGTTCACACTAGAGTCTAATGGAGGTCGCATTTAAAATATAATGTGAATGTTCACACAAAAAATCAGATTTTTGAAAAGATAAATAAATAGATAAATTGGAATAAATAAATCAGAAACAATGACTTGGATACTCGGATGAATTTTGTTTGTCTTGTAAAAACTACTATATGTCTAATTTAATGCCTAACTATGCACTATAATCAGGGTTTTGAAGGGTTGCAGGTGTTGATTGTTGTGTTCACATAAAGAAATTGTTGCACTAAGTACAAAATATAAAGAAAGCAAAAAAAAAACAAACAAACACTGAATCGTTTCTTTGTATGTTTTTAGCGTATCATTGAGACAGCTCCATGGGGAGAAGACTCCAGCACCATAGACAACCAGATTACAACCCACATCAAATTTCACAGCTCCATGCAAAGAAGCTCAGAAGTAGAACGAGCCAAAAGGGCACTGGTAAGAATCTTGTTTCTACTTTATTTTGCCTCAAAATTCTTATTCTTTATTCTGGTTTTGCAATAATGTCTATGATCATCTACAAAACATGGGATTTCATGTCTGATACATTACTTTCTAGATGTCAACAGGTGGAAAGTACCAACTCTCCCTCTTGGAACAAGAATGGGACAACCTGCAGGTAAAGCAATGCTTTCTTGAATTTACTTAGTGCAACATTATTTTTCTTACATTTTTATTAAATTCGTGAATTAGATTTTTTTTGTGGCAGAAATTGTCCCACAGTCGCTTGAGTCAGCTACGGGAGCTTCAGAACATCATCGATGAGATCTTTCAAGCCATCATGTGGGTGAATGACAGAGAGGAAGAGGAGCTGGTCTTTGACTGGGGAGACAAGAATATTGACCAGTACATCCCCAAGAAGCAGGAGAGCTATGCTGTGAGGATCTCTGACTGAGCACTTTTTATTATTTACATATACTAGTTATTAAAGTCTGCTGTGTGATGGTTGTGAGTTTTTGCTTTCTGTTTATCCAACAGAGGCTGATGAGGGACTTGGAGGAGAAGGAGAA